CAATATTCGACCGCTCAATATCGGGATTCCAGACAGAAGACTTGAAGATATCCTCAAAAACGCTCAAAACCGATGTTATCCTCGACCGAATCCACCTACTGTCAATGGATGGCAACTCTTCAGGGTCCAGCTTGTTGCTCTCATTGACCTTGTTCTCCAACCAAACCTTCGCTTGAGGGCTCCAGAGCATATTGGATAGCACATGGGCTACCCTGTCGCTGAGACTGGGTACAGACGAAAAAATGCTCGAAGCCGGTGAAGCGACATATTCTTCCCAGACGACATCAAGATGCTGAAAAGATGCCGAGGGACGGAAGGCGTAATAAAGAAGGTTATAGTAGCTGCACAAGGCTAGCTGACTGGGTTGTTTGTCTTGCTTCTTCCGGTCGAATTGAGAGATGATGGGCTTGCTCAGCATCCGCAATAACGAAGGGCTTGTTGTGTCGCTAGGACTGACGACATAAACAAACCGATTCCAGCCAACGATGGCCTGCGCTTTGATTGCAGAATCACTGCAATTGAAGCATCTCTGCAGCACAAGGACCCATTCTTTGAAATGCTCCCACTGATCGACGTTGAACTTTTTGCTGCGCAGGAGGAGAATAATCACACTCCATATCTGAGGTATGTGGACTCCGCAATCAGAAAGTGCCATCATGCGCGTCATTCGCTCGCAAACTTCCGTCACAAGCTTCCTCCGCTCATCGAGAGGTCTGCTGAAGACCTCACGGACGCATTTCGACAGGGTTGGGTTCGGCCCGCACGCTATAGCGGTCTGAAAGCCCACCGATATAGCCTTGATCCTGATATCTTTGACATGGTGTAGCAAGCCGGATATGAGATGATCCATCCACAGGGATGCATTTGAGACGAAGATCATCTTGGACTGATTGAGGACACGAAGATAGATGCTTAAACGCTGGGACACAATTGCGCTTCCAGTGACGCGATTAGTCAATTCATGGAGAACCGTTAAAATGCGTATTATTCGCGTGTTCGTCATGACCTTGGCGTTAAAGTTCTGGGTCGACAATACGGACAAGTAGTGAGTTACCACCGACTTTGGCATCTTCACATCTTGAAGACAATTGACGGAATGATCGACGAGAAAAGTCTTAAAGTCATCTGGCAGACGCGCAGAGATCTCACTATGCCAGACCAGTGCAACAGCCAACTTAAGGGCCTGTATTACAAGGTTGGTATGTAGCGGTCCGCCGGTTGTCAAGTCCCGGCTAACGTCCCGATGTATGAACTGCGTGATCAAGCCCAACCTCGCTATGATTTCTTGATCACCAGGAAGATTGTCATATGCTCTCAGGGCCCCGAAGAACTGCATGTAGGCGTCGAGCCTTGAACTGACAGCCTCTCCAGCGAGCTGTTGTAAGATCGACTCTAGAAGCATGGCAAAGGAAACGGGAGCTTGAGGTTCAGCAGACGGCGAATTGGTAGCAGAGTGAGATGTGGTCGGTTTGAGGATAGATTTTGTAGGTTTGCATTCGTTCGAGGGAGGCAGGGACTTGAGGTCAGATTTGGACTTCGCGGCGGAATTGGTAAACGAGGGAGGTTTAATGTATCTTGTCCATGGTGAGAAGTTCACGCGCTTGGATTGTCGACTTGATGGAGCACCGGTTGAGCCATTGACGGAAAAGGGAGAGTCGCGAGGCGTGTGTACAACAACCGGAGAATCTTCAGTTCGATCATTTTCAGACAGCATACGAGATGATGTCCTAGGTGGAGTAGGCGGACGAGCAGACAGAGGACCGAGAACCTCCACCATATTTCACAGAATCGGACGACGAAGAGAACGGGGACAAGAATGAAAGAAGGAGAAGGAACATCGCGATACAGCCTAGCTAGAAACCACGCTGTCCATGACCCAGACCGAAGCTGTCGACAAGCATGAGCAAGGATCAAAGCCCTGGTGAAAGTAGGATAGCCGTGCCAGTTTGATCCTACCGGGGCCGCGCCAAGCCACGCAACTCAAAAAGACGCGCCTGTGGCTGAGCCACGCGTAAAGTGGCAGCGCCGCGTTTCATGCCCAAGGCAGTAAGGCACTCAGGCACCACGGAGAAGGCTTCGGAGATGAACCGGAGTTGCCCACCCCCCAATTCTTTAGTTATTATCTTCAATTCTCTCGTTACCCCCATTCACGTTGGTTGTTTTCGAACCCAGAACGAGTTGTCATTGTAAGTTTCGTCTACTTAACTACTGATCACAGATTGCATGCATTGATTTATGTCCGTCTCGTCAACCTTATATCTAATACCATTGCTGCATGTACAGACTGCGGAGATACTGTGCAGCCGCTTAGTGCTATCCGGTGGGGTTCTGCTTTATTGCGCTGCGGATCTCTATTCATCAGCGCAACTTTAGCTCCTATCCTTATCCGTTGCGCTGCTTCCAGCACCGGATCTCACTACAGCCCATCGGCGAAGAAAGATACTCCAGATTATCCCATAACCTCGGGACTGGTTTTCGCCTCTCCAACTACTCTGTCGTTAAACGCGGAGACCCGCTTTCGCTGCAACTTGATCAAGCCCAAGCTAAGTGGGACTTACTGGACAGACTAGTAGGGGTTCACCGCGCCCCGTAAGACGGCTATTGCAAGCCAGCAGTTACCCCTTGACACACTTCACTTCCGGCGCATAGAATTGCGCTAAGCAAAAGTTGACCATGGATTTCAGGCCGCTCCAAGGCCCAGGTATGTGCAAGCCAATTCATCGTACAGACCTCAATTAACAAGCGACTAGAGAAGCTGCAGCGAGTCACTAAACTACTGGGCTCTCTCAAAACGGACCTCGAGGCGAAGTCTCTCACTTCGAAGGGTAAGTTAACAGGGAATGTGAAATGTACCGGTCTGACCTCGTCACCTGCGTGCCTTAGAACGCGTGCAGACACTCCTGGAGTTGAGGCAGCACGGGACCAACCCCAGCCATGCCCAACCTATTTACTCTAAAGAGGGGATAGAAGTATTAGCCAGATATGGTGTTGATGGGGATACCCCGGATGTGCGTCGTGCCGCTCTACGCTGCGTCGCAAATGCTCTCCTCTTAGATGGATCGATGCGCCAGCTGTTCGTAGACACAGGCTACGGAGGCAAATTAGCTGAAAGGCTCAAGGTATACCCGTTCATTATGCCAACCAGCTCGTGCAGAAGTTGACCTTCAATCAGTGTGATTCCTCGGAGGATGAGATGGTGATCAGTCGGATCTTGTTCCTGTCTACCTATGACACCACAATGGACTTTGACAATCTAATCAGACACCACTCTCTGGGTGAAAATGTCAACTATGTAAGCTAACGCGTGTCTTGCCCAGATAAATCTGATGGAAGCTGACTGAATCCAGCAAATCGTCCGACACGCCAAACAATTCCCCAAATCTGGCAAAAAGTCTCTGTCGCAGATGGACGAATTGGCCCTTACTGATACCTTGAAGCTCATTTTCAATGTTTCAAAGATATATTCCGATTTGGCCGCGACATTCTCGGCTTCGATCCCTCACATCTTTAAGATGATCAACCGCATCGATATCCCTCCAAAGCCTCTGGAAGGCCTCCTCAGCTATCTTCTTAACTGTTTGTCCACGCTTGATCTGGAAAATAAGAAGGGCAAAGTCTTCGAGAGTAGCCCACTTTTCCCGACCTTCAATCAGAACTGCAATGTCGACAAGCTGATCAACATATTGGATCAAGCTGTGTCCGCATATGGCCCTGACGAGCTGGAGACCAAGGCTATACCCCTGTTCCATACGCTCGTGGTCATTCATGAGATGGCTCCAGACGGCCCTCGCAAATATATGCAATGGCTTCTCCTGCCCGAGGACAACGATAGAAGCCGCCCGATTGGACAATCAGACACCCTCTCATCGAAGTTGCTCAATTTGTCGACCACGCCCTATCCTAATCTGAAGACTGCTATTTCCGAGCTTATGTTTGTGCTCTCCGGCAAAGACGCTGAAAATCTGACAAAGAACATCGGATATGGGTTCGCTGCAGGACTACTAGCTTCTCGCGGCATGGAAATCCCTAAGACGGCAGGCGAAGCATTCGCAACCAACCCGAACGGGTTTGATCCAGAGGTCAATCCCATTACCGGCCAGAAGTGGGCTGCAGAGAAGAAGGACGATGGCCCTCCTATGACCAAAGAGGAGAAAGAAAGAGAGGCAGAGAGATTATTTGTGCTTTTTGAGCGGTAAGCCTCACCCTTTCTCTACCTGCACTGAATATATGCTGAGTATCGTAACAGAGCCAGAGCGAACGGCATTCTTCAGGTGGAGAATCCTGTCACGCGCGCCCTCCATGAAGGACGTTTCGAAGAGTTGCCCGACTCTGACGACAGTGATTAGGCATAATGCTCTTCTTCGTTTCCTTACAATTGCTTCCCTGTACCATAGTTTAATTTCTGTCCGCCACCGATAAGAGATTCTCTTTCCCTTGTTCTATCCCGATGAATCTTACGCTCTGAATTTAATACGTCAACCTTACTTGGATTGATGACTGTTCGCCAAAAGAGCATTAAGTGGCGTTCGCGTTTGTCCGCCATTTCTGGATCTTTCCAGTATGATCTAGCATCGCTGTGGATTGCTATGCAATTAATAAGCGGCAGAGGCAGATTAGTTAGCCGGACATGGCATTTCTCAGACAGCGAGCAATCTAGATAGCAAACTGAATAGATTCGCAGGCCGAAATAGAGAATCTGAGTTGTAATTATTCATGCCAGTAACGTAGATGAACTAGAGCGTACATAGTCCGGACTCTTAAATGCCTGGTGGTGTTTTTAAGATCTGTAAATGACGTACGGCCCAATCGCGAGCGGCGGGGTTGAAGGGCGGCGGCGCAAAAATCTCTCCGCCTGCGGGAAACAGAAGTCGGGCGCGGGGCAACTCACTTTTCGATTTCTTTTCGACTACCCTGACTGTTAGCCAGCGAATAGAACATATTTCCTACCTTTACACTCTTCTCTTGATATTGTTTGCTTCTTGTGTAATTATTTATCGCCCACACAACCGCCAAGATGTCGAAGCCTTTTGATCCAGAGACGGCGGAGAACTTTGAGGATGTATGTCACTTTTGCGCCTAGACTGCCTATTCAGATTTCCGACCGAGAATGCTGACATTTGGTGCAGATGGAGAAGCAGTTTGCCGTTAAGGGTTGGTCCGGACATCTCTTATTCGAACTCGTCCCATGACTCACGATTATGCAGCCGTGGAACATCTGATGACATATTGGTCGATTCTGGAGAAGGTCCCCGGCTCGAAACTCCGCCTGACCAAGATGGACGATGAAATCCTCGAGTCTTTCCAGAAGGAATTCCCCGACTTCGACCCTGCCGAGACGCTCAATGAGGACAAGATGAAGAGCAAGGAGGGCAAGGAGAAGTGGCGTAACTGGATCAACCAGTACGAGAAGATTATCGAGGACTTCAACTTCGGTACCATGCTGCGTGCTAGCCCCAAGGTCGAATACGACAGAGATACCACGATCTTCGGTAAGTGATACATGGCTGTGTGGCTTGTCTGGGGGGGTGGAACGCTAGCTGACAGAAGGACAGCCATGCGTATGCAGTTTTACGCCATCGAGATCGCTAGGTGAGTCCTTCCACTTCAACAAGCCCTGGAAACATTTGGATACTCATACATGGATCAGAAACCGTGCTGGCCTCAACGATTGGATCTACGAGCGCGCGCAGAAGGCCAACAACTAAATGTGAAAGCTGCGCTTCTTATCTGGGCCGTGCAGGAACGGCGGCTAGACGGAATGGTTCATCCGGGCCTTTACCGTCCTTGCTTTGCTAGCGTCAAGAGACTATGCAGTGACTCAAGTCCTTGAGTTCGACAGCCATCATTTACTACCATGGCCCATAGGTCTCCTCCGGGTGGTCCAGCATAGCGTATATGACCCTATAAAAGAGTGGGGATAGCCCCTCCACAGGGCGACCTAGGGTGCTACTACCGGAGTGGATACCTGTACATATAACGAGCTGAATCGATGCTTTGGAATGCAGTGATGGATAGAAAGACGTGTGATTGACCCACTAAATTTTTCCGGTGTACCCGAGAACAATGGCAACGCAACCCATTGTTCTTTTCCTCCACAATATGCCCGCATATGGAAAGTGCTTGATATTCGGCCAGATGGGCTAATATGAAAACGAACGTAGCTCTTTGTTCTGATGATTATGCTAAGAAGTACTTGGACGCCTGTTTGTTGGGTTCATCATCCGCTTATGTTTTTCTATATGACGCCCTAGCACTTTATACTTTCCTACCATCATCATGTCTTCTTATACGACGCCTAAATATTGGAGTCGAAAACTAAATGCTCAACTGAAGATCTTCCGCGTTGGTCAGTCTGTATAATTCATCATGGCAGCCTTCCTTGCTGGCGCCAGGCGCTTCATACATCGAAAACCGAGGTGGATGTCGCTGTTCAGCTTCACAACAACGAAACATCTTCCGGTGCTCATAGGAGGATTTACATTTACGGCCATTTCTAGTCTTTCGGTTCCCATATTCTCCGTACTCTTGGGCGAGATATTCAATACGTTCACACTGTTCGGTGGAGGAAAAGTTGCAAAACAGGACCTAACGCCAAAGATCAGCAAATACGCTGTCCATTTGGTTGGACTTGGAGCAATCAATTGGGTTTGCAATAGTGTTTATTTCATTCTATTTGTGATATACGGAGAATTTCAGGTTGCAAATGCTCGCACCATGCTCTTCGAAAGGCTTTTACAGAAGAGTCAGGAATGGTTCGAAACGCAGCCGGATGGCACGAGGGTCTTTCTATCTTCTCTCCAGGGGTATGTCGCACTCTTGTGTGCCACTATCCTAGCTGACGCAATCTTCCAGGCAAATCGAAGACCTACAGAAAGCAACATCGCAGCCTCTCGGCCTCGCTTTGCAGTACAGTTTTCGAGCCATTTTTTCTCTAGCCCTAGCATTCTTCACCTCCTGGAACCTTACTCTGGTCACTTTGGCGGGAATTCCCTTCCTTTCAGCCGCTCTCTCCTTCCTCTCCAATAAGACGAACTCGTGTATGGAAGCACAGAAGACAGAACTGGGTCATCTATCGCTGATAGTCGACAATGCTACATCATCAATTGATAGCGTCAAGTCTTTTAACGGGCAAGACACCGAGATCCAAAACTTCGTGAGCAGCGTTGACAATGCCGCTATACATTATCTCAGACGCGCGCGCTTAACCTCTCTACAGATATCCATATTGCGACTGATGACATTCGGAATGTTCGTGCAGGGCTTTTGGTATGGGAGCTCTTTGGCTACCTCCGGTGAGATTTCAGCAGGAGAAGTGCTCAGGACATTCTGGGCTTGCTTGGCAGCTGCCCAGTCAATGGAATTCCTCATGCCACAAATTGTCATCCTAGCAAAAGGAAAGGATGCAGCCCTTTCTCTGATCCACACTTTGAGCTCGGAGTCAGAAAATACTGTTCGAGGGGAGGGGAGGAGTTCCGTTTATCCGAAGTTTTGCGAAGGCGATATCGAGGTCAGCAATGTAAGTGTGATGAACCCGTGAACAATTGTGTGGTACATGAACTTATAGCTTGTCTATCAGGTCTCCTTTGCTTACCCAGCGCAGCCGAACAGACCAGTCTTGAAGTCGACAAGCTTCTTCTTTCCTGCCGGAGAGACAACCTTCGTTATTGGCAGAAGTGGATCTGGAAAGAGCACGCTTGGACAGCTGCTCACACGCTTCTACTTACCACTATCCGGGGAGATTCTGATAGATGGGGCCCCCATCCAATCTCTGAGCATCGACTGGATAAGGAACAATATTACTTTGCTGGAGCAGCGAAGCGTTTTGTTCAACGAATCTATCTTCATGAATATCGCCTTTGGTAGTCGCAACTATGAAGGACTCAGCAAGGTTGATGTACGTGAATGTATCGATCTTGCAAGGTTACAAAGCACAATAGACGATCTACCCAAGGGAATCGACACTTGTGTGGGTCACGGTGGTGATTTCCTAAGCGGTGGTCAAAAGCAAAGAGTGGCGATTGCAAGGGCGCGGTTAAGGGATACGCCTATATTGATAATGGATGAGCCTACAAGTGCTCTTGATGCCACCAACCGCGTCGAAATAACGAAAGCTATCCGGGAATGGCGTCGAGGGAAAACAACTATCATCATCACACATGATATGTCGCAAATCATGGATCACGACTTTGCCTACATCATGGACCAAGGCTCCGTTATTCAAGCTGGCTACAGATATGAACTGGAGGAGAGCAATACGTGTTTTGCTACCTCGGGCAAACTTCATCGTGAGGAAAGTGAGCATGGTGTTGCCCACAGTTCTCCTGATCGATACTCCAGTGTTTCTTCAAGAGCCTCAACTGAGAGTACACGCGGTCCAAGCCCTGATTCGTTTGCTCGACACAGCGAGCTTGTACAGCATTCTTATGCTATTCACGGCTACAAAAGAAGCATACAGAGTATTCGTCAATCTGCAGACTCTCGGGGAGTCAGATCACGCCGTGAGTCGATTGGGATGCAGATGTTTGAGCTCAATACTGTCCATGCCGATAATACAAATTTCCAGTCCAATCGGTTCAGACAGAGTATACTTCCTGTAAATGATGTTGTCAATGAGATCAACAGAGCGAGATCGAAGCACCGAAGCAAGCGGCCTTCTAAGAATGCAGCACGCCTCGCGCCGCAAGAAACTATGTCATTGGGGCGGATTATGCTTACCATACTCCCTAATCTGACTCGAGGTCAGAAGCTGCTTCTTTTGCTCGGATGTTTCAGTACCCTGGGCCACTCGATGGCCACTCCGCTATTTTCTTATTGCCTATCGAAGCTCCTTGAGACATTTTACAACAAGCAAGCCAAAGCCTCGACATGGTCACTGATAGTACTAGGAATAGCCGTAGGTGACGGCGTTATATCTTTCCTGATGCATTATCTTCTGGAGCTATGTGGCCAGGCGTGGGTTGATCGCCTCCGTAAAAGAGGCCTCCATCATATTCTTGACCAGCCACGAAAATGGTTTGAAGAAGCAGGAAATGAACCCTCCCAACTCACCTCGTCCCTCAACCACAGTGCTGAGGAGATGCGAAACCTGGTCGGTCATTTCGGTGGCTACGTCCTGGTGGCTACTTCAGTCACCGTGGTCGCTATTATATGGTGCATGGCTGTTTGTTGGAAACTGACCCTCGTGGCAGTGGCCTGCGGACCAGTCATCTATGCCATCACCAGAGGGCTCGAGAAAACCACCGGAATGTGGGAGAGGCGCTGCACCGGGGTCAAAACGACGGCGTCGGAGATATTCATCGAGACGTTCTCGCAGATTCGCACCGTCCGCACATTGACCCTTGAGCCTTACTTCCACAAGAAGCATATGAAGGCAGCAGCATTGTGTATGGTACTCGGAGTCAAGAAAGCTGTCTACACCGGCTTTCTCTTTGGACTGGTAGAGTCTATGATCATATTCGTCAGCAGTAAGCAGCTGCATATGGAAACCTTTGAAACTCTTACAGATCTGACCTTCGCAGGCCTTATCTTCTATTACGGAGCTGTCCTCGTATCGTCGCTTGAATTCACCGTCACCAGCCTCATGACTGTATTCTCTGTCCTTCTCTTCAGCATCGGATACGCAAGCACAGTACTATCATGGAGTAAGCCACCTACCCGACAACCATTGCCCACGCCCACAGCTAACAGGCCCCCCACAGTCCCCCAGATCAGCGTTTCCCACATAATGGCCAACCAAGTCCTACGCCTAGCACACCTCCCACGCGGCGCATCCCACGAACATCAAGGCACTCTCAAAATCACCACAGCCGCACCAGTAAAGATCACCAACCTAAACTTTCGCTATCCATCCCGCCCAGACGCACACGTCCTACGCGACGTAAGCATCACCATCCCCCGAAACCAAAGCACAGCAATCGTAGGCCGATCAGGCTCAGGCAAATCCACAATAGCATCCTTACTCCTGAACCTCTACGAAGTCCCCACCACCACCACCACCTCCAGGATATCCCTGAACGGAATCGACCTCCAACGCATCCACACCCCAACCCTCCGCACCCTCATCACCATCGTCTCCCAACGACCCTCCATCTTCCCCGGCACAGTAGCAGACAACATCAGCTACGGACTCGAACCCGACTCCCCGCTCCGCACAATGTTCCACATCCGCGCCGCAGCAGAGTCAGCCGGGATCGACGAGTTCATCACATCCCTGCCCAAGGGCTACTTCACCCTGATAGGCGACGGCGGGGCCGGTATGTCGGGGGGACAAGCGCAACGGCTGGTAATTGCACGGGCGCTGGTGCGACAGCCACAGCTTCTTATCCTGGATGAAGCTACGTCCAGCCTTGATCCGAATAACGCTAAGATCATTCGACGGACCGTGCAGAGATTGGTCGCGACGCGGCTGGGCCTTACTGTCCTTATCATTACGCATGCAAGGGATATGATGGAGATTGCGGATAATGTTATTGTGATTGACAAGGGTCGTGTGGTGGAAGCGGGGAAGTATGAAGTGCTTGCTCGGCGGCAGGGTGGGAAATTAAGGGCTTTGATTGAGGAGGAGGAGGAAAATTCTGAGGTGAATGGATAGAATGGGGGTATGAGGGAGAGAGAGAGAAGAATAGAGCACGCTCTCCTCAATAATTAAAGGGAAGGATAGTAAATCAATAAGACACCTTCGCAAACTGCTTCTGAAACCACGCAATCGCCTGATCCTCCGCCTCCTCAGCCTGCGCCCTCACATCCTTAACCATCACATCCGCACGCACACAAAACCCATGCCCAGCCCCATAGTAGATCTTCACCTCCCCCACATCCCTCTCTCCGACGGCTTTCTCAATCTGCTGAATCTGTGGCATTTTCACCATACTATCCAGTTCCGCCATCGCAAAGCTCACAGGGATCTTGATCTTCTCGATATCCGCGGGGATCGTCAGATTGCTGGGATGGCCCGTGAAACCGGCATCGATTAAGGGTTTGCCATCTACTTTGTCTTCTTCTTTGTCGTGCGCGAGGTACACGGTGTGTAACCCGCCCCAGCAGAACCCTGCAGCTGCGATGGGGAGGTTGGCGCCTTCGTTGCGCCGTACGGCGGTGAAGAATGTCTTGACGGTGGGCCAGGAGGTGGTGAATTTGTTGTGGTAGACGAAGGGGATCATGGCGTACATGGCACAGGCGATGTGGTAGCTGCATCGTAAGTATACGTTGTGAGGATTGCACTATAGTAGCTGTACTTGGTAGTGGTGTGTGTGTGTGTATGAGACTTACGGTTTCGTTATCCAGTCCATGATGGATGAGGTCTTCATTATTGCGGATAGGGTGTTTAGAGTCCAGACAGGAACGGCGTGTCCTGAACAATTCATATAAATATATATATTAGTACAGCTGTTTCGCATTGTCGCGTCTCATAGTTTCATTATCTCCACATGAGCATCGATGATCAGGAAGTATACACACCATTCATGAATTCAGGCAAATACACCTTATACCCTCCCTTATCGGCATAATGATCGGCCAGAATGCGATTATTGACAAACTCCCACCCAAACGCATCCGGAATAATGATAATGATTCCCTTGATGGGAGATTCTGTGGACGTCGGTTCCGTCACATATGCATTCAGGCCATGCAAGGTGGTGACTGTTCCTCTGGGCGTAGTGTCCTCGTGCACGTGGCCGCTGAAGCAGTCGGGACAGGACATGATGATAATATATATATATCTATATGACCTAGTAGCAGTCAAGGTATGTGTTCTGTCCCTGCTATTGTCTTTCTTGATGTGAGTTGGATAGTTGTTGAGTAGGTTGATAACCAGGATCGATCGACCTGCAAGAACGATAAGCTTTACGTAGAGCGGGGAAACTGGTTGCTTATATGCTGCTGTCAGTTGATGTGGGCAGGTAAAGTTCGAGGTTCCATGGCATTGGCGTAGTAGGTTAAGCCAGGCAGGTTCGGGATTGCCGGAGGTAAGATTGGTTAAGTCCGGGATAGTAAGTGGGACGGATTGGTGGATTCGGTTGGTTCTTGGAATTATCTCCGATGCTGAAATATGTTTGAACACTGCGTGGAAGGGAGGCCTGATTGAAAGAGGGAAGGAGTTTTTGCGTAATTTGGGTGAAGGTTTTGGGCTGTGAAAATTGTGGATGGGATCATCCTTGACTTGGTGTAGTAGTTTTGTACGCCCCGAGCTAATAGGATCGGAAGGGAGGTGGGGAGGGAATTATACTAACAGGGAGACTTTAGTACTACTAATTAATGGCGTCGTACTGGGTACATCAGGCGGATGATATTTTTGTTAGTAGACTTCTTATTTACCATAAAGTGAGAACTAAACGTCTTCGCCTTTGTCCCTTTTGGGTACTCACCTAGTAAGGAATCTAGACGTCACTTTGCATGGACAGAAGCCCCGGCTGGTACTGTCACCCTAGAAACTGCTATCAGCAGGGAATCATGTCTGGAGCTCATCCTCATCCTTAAACTCCTGTTCAAGTTTCTTGTCGTACTCCTCCTTGTCGGATACCTTTTGATATGCGATACGGCCCATATTCCTTCCCCACAGAAAGGACATGATCAAATGGAATTCTTCGAGATTATCCGTGCAAAATAGCGGTCGTATATGCCGCTGAAAAGTGGTGAAAAGACCAGAAGGGCTGGAGAGAGCCAAAGTATACCAAAATGTCCCTGTTGCCCACGTCCTCTCAGGATATCTGACAGAGCGGCGAATCATGGTTCGATGTCAACAATGCTTTCTCCTCGATCCTTAGAGCATCCATAAATTCTGTACGGACTTTGTCGTACTCAACTGGCACCAGCTGATCGACGCCCAAATTAGTTAACCAATGAAAGGGTCTAATCATCTCAATTGGCAAAGAGCAAGCCCACTCCAAGTCCAACAAACAAATTACATTCTAGTCATCATCGACAAATATGTTGCTCTGATGAGGATCTGTTAAGGAGAGAACAAAAGGCCCTCGGCCAAGTTCCCTCTCAAAGAATGACTTGGATATGGTTCTCATCGCAGAGAGTGAGGACAGCTGGAACACGGAGTCTCCAAGGTCATTCACTGCATTTGGTTGAAACAGGAAGCGATTATCATGGAATGAGAGGACATCCGACACATACGAGTCAACATTTGAGTATGTATAATCACGATGTATGCCAGTCGGTATTTGTTCATTCTCGAGCTGTTGAAAGCGGCCGATTTGCTAGGACCAGATACCCTCTGTGGTCGATAACAAACGAGCCAATCCTAGGAACCGGAACTTGGCTAATGCTCGAGAGAATGCGGGAAATGCTGCGGAAAAACGTTGTTCGCAGTTGACATCGTGTTGCCTATCTGCCCACGTGTTCGACAGCATACTTCCCCGGCTTGGTAGGATGTATTCGAGAAATAGATAGCTGGAGTGAATGGCTTGCTCGCCTTTGACGTGGTGCGGAACATCTGTAGACGGGGTTTGGCAGCCATGAGAGAACGCGACAGCGGATCGCATGAATCCACCTGTGTAGAAGCGGCAGTATTTCAGCGTGAGTGAACTGAAATGAGTTAGCTGGATAGGGGAAAACAGTTGCATTAATCTTAGTACAGCTTCACCGGTCGAAAGGCCAAATCCATACAATTCTGGAATTGGCACATCCGGACAATTTTCTTGGAGCCATGCATAAGTCCCTGCCTCGCATTTAACCTTCTCATCTCCGTTCCCCGGCATAAAATCCTCGCCAATCCTGTATGGGAGAGGAAGTCGAAGGACCATGGGCTTTGCCCCTCGACTGCTGGCAGTGACGGGGATACAAACGTTGAAGCTACCTTGTAACCAATCTTCAAGCTTTGACACCTGACAATCATCAGGAGAGCTTAAGTTGAGATGATGTGCGACAACTCCCTTGATCCAGCTCTGGTGAGCACTTGAGATGAGCAAAGAACCTATTCTGCTTGTTATAGTAAGACAGCTGATGAAGTATATTATGTTCCTCCTCCTTGGCGGATGCATAAGTAATTTCGCGAAGGATGCTGCCTGCTCGAGCCGAGCAAGCGGCGTCTATAGTATCTAAAAGATGAATAAGATGGAAGAGAAGCAGAGAACGTATCTTGTGTTCTTGTGTTCTGTAGGATGCTAACTAGGATGCTAACTAAGAGTTGGTGTGGAACGTAAGAGGGAGCCTTTCGTCTTCCGTATGCGGAAGGTGCCCGCTGCAAAGAAGTCGTCGTGTTTTTGGCATGATGGAAGATAGCAGGAAGTCTGTTGCCCCGAAAGCGAGATCGGCTATCTACATCAACATGGTGTAGATGAAGAGTGGGTCAGGATTCAGGAGGAGACTCCATAACAAGGGCAAGACTAACTACGGAGTAGTCTAGTCTACTTCTACAGTAGTAGTAATTGACCCGGGAGGACTTTATTCCGATGGGGTACTCCGTAATGACAGCCCCATCCCTGGTGGTGCTCAGTGACCCTGGCGATGATATAAGTGAGCTTAATTTTCCTCGGGCAATAAGCTGACCGAACTTAAAAGCTAGATAGAGAGGCGTCTGGAGCAAATCTATCAACTGAGAACAACCCCCAACGCTGATCCGACACCAACCAGAAAACCAGCAGCGAAGGAACGTGTTCTAAAATTGGCACGCGCCGGTGGTTCGGGAAGGAAAACCCGGCAGCTTCAAATTTGTATTGCGCCTCTCGTTTCACAATGAGATCGTCTTTAATTAGTCGGGAGGTGCGATGGAGTCCTTTTTAATTTGTATAGAGACTCGGTTGATGCGTAATTGTGTCGTGTCAGGATCAATTTGACCTCCTGAGTCTGGAAGCATCCAAGGGTCGTACTACTTACTACTTCTGATCAGTCACTTCTTTCTGGCTGGGGAAAAATCCATTCGCTATTTTATCTCCGCCAGCGACCCAGCCCGACCCAGCCACTTTCTCGTCGGCATCAGCATCAGCATCAGCAATCAGTCAATCAGCGCCAATCTGTGGCCCTCCCCCTCTTGCCATTCGACAACCACTTGCAGGTCTGTCTTGGAATGATGAGCATCGTCATTCTCTGACACCAGTTAGCCGCTGAAATCTTGCCGCGGTCCTGCTCGTATTCTCTCTCTCCTGGTCCTTTCTTCCCCAGCCATCACAGCTTGAGGCCATGGATTCGCGCATGTCTCTTCTTCTCCATAATCTACCATCTCAATCATTATTGCTGGCTCTATCTCTAGCTATTCGTGTTGATTTCAGTCGCATTTTATGGTCTGATTCGTAATATCTTATCAAATCTCCCCCCTCCCCAGGCCCCCTTCTGCAGCCTATCTTGCTTTTTTTTCTTATTCATTCATACCACCGAGTACCAAACCTTCACTGTTCATCCGCCAGTTCCGCAGCGTTCCCGGTTTAGGCTACCATTTCCAGTTCGCCTCCGATCCGGGTTTTTCCAAACCTCTTTTTGCCTGCGATAATACCTCCTATCGTCGACTTTCTAGCTGGTCTGCATGTTTTAGGGGCTATAGATCTGGGCTCATTCCCGATCGCCCGGAATCCACAGCATGCACATTCCAGTCAACTTCCGCCAATTTGACATCCGTCAGGATGGTCCGGGCAACATTATCAACAGTCCCAATACCAACACCAATAACACCGATAATAGCCAGGATAAAAATCACACCTCCGACAATAGTAACTCGAGCAGGAATAACATCATTATAATAGTGGGTGCTCTCTTTCTTCGGTTTCCCGCAGTCACTAATGCATCTTTTCCTCTAATTGCAGTGCGTCGCTTGCATCGTCTTCGCCGTGGCATCCGCCTTAATGACCTATTTCGTCTTACGTACCCTCCGTCGCATGAACTGTCGCCCGAAATATCTGCCTGGAAAATTCCTAAAGGACAAATGGAATAGGTGGAACGTGGGCGTCTCATACGGTCAGGTCCCGGGGGCGAATAATCCAAATGCAAACGCCAGAGACACGCCCGCCGAAGGAGGCTCGGAGATGCGAACTACCACCCCGGCCGCCAACAATACGAGCAATGTTCGACGGGATACATCGGTTCGCTCAGTCATCACCCTCCCCGCCTACTCGCCCAGTCCCAAGCCAACGGAGCAGGTCATTGCTCGAGAGGGGGAGCGAGCAGGCATGGATATGGTTGTCGAGTTCCCCGAAACAGCTGAAGAGGAGGAATCCCGCAGAGAAGAGCTGATGGAGTCTTTGTACCAAATCCGTTTGCAACGGCGAGAGGAGATGGCCGACCGTGAATGGCGGCGACAGGAGCGCCGGGAGGCTCGTGCTCGCGGGGACTATATTCGCCTGGAAGAACTCCGGCAGGAGAGTCGGGCCCGCGCGAGAAGCAGCGCGTCTGCCAATGGGAGTGGTTCAAACCTCAGCGCGGCTCTGGCGGAATCTCGTAACCGTGGTCGCGATAGGCGTATCTCCAGTGTCTCTTATGCAGAACTGGGCCACGTGCGGCATGACGGGTCGCGTATCAGAGCCACGTCGCCCGATTCGGACCGTCGTCCTCTTCTCACCGATGCATCAGCACCCGATCGATCCTCAGGATCGATTCTCACCGGCGTTCATTCTCGAGGCGAGTCGTACTCGTCGTACCAGTCTGGGGTATCCAACGTCTCCGATGCGGAGACTTTAACTCAGGTGCCATCGCATGCGGCGTCTGCTCATTCGGCTGATCGCCCGTCAATAACGGTCGACGAGGGTGATGTGGGTGAACTCAACATCCCGCCGCCTGAGTACGAGGTCCTGGAATGGGGAGAAGCGCCACCTTATACGAGTCCAATTGCGGAGAGGGGCGAGCATGCACCGCAGCTTCGTGACTTGACCCCCTTGCCAACCATCCATATCGATGTGGCCAGCCCTATCAGCAACACTCCCACCACGCCCACGAATCCTCTGCGGGAAGAGGAGCCGGAAGAGCAACAAACCGCCGAACAAACTACCGAACAACCTGCCACCACCACTCAACCCATCACTGAAGAGCGTGTCGAAGAACACCCTGCTTCTGAATCAGCCGAAACACACCTCTTGAGGGAAGACACTCATAGTCACCAGGCGTCTTGATTTCTCTGTTATCGATATGTCTATTCAACAACTAGAAGACCTGACCCATCGGTCTACATTCACGGCTGCCATTCCTCGCCCCTTCCGACCGCGCATTCCAATACCCGTTACGAGCATAAGCGTTTACGACCCTACATACTAGCATATAGGTTGTTTTAATTACTCTCCGACCCTGTCAATAGTTTTCTTTCCCTTGGACATTCATGTTAGCCCGCAAGGCGTTTTATTGAAGGCGAATCTATGGACGGCTCTTCTTGTTTTCTCAGCCCACACCAGTCTGCCTGTACATTTAGAGAAGGGGGCACTGTGTTTATTGGATTTGTCTGCACATATTATACGCTCCAGCATATGATGGAAAAATCTCAATGCAAAAGCTTCAATAACGACGTGCGAAAATGTTGTTTAGAATAAGTTTCATAAATTGGATAATCACTATCGATCTCTGCAGCTTGGCTCGTGGCGTAAGCACTCGGAAGGCGGTCAGCTGCTCCACGGGAGGGGGGCCCACGGGAGTAAACAAACCAAAAGCAGCGGGCGAGTTCCACTTGGTCGAGGACGTAGTAACTTGTTGCCAGCCCAGCCTCCTCATTTATTTCCGTCGCATCATCCACTCGCGTCCCCATTGCGTTGTCTAGTCGGTTAGCCAGGCCTTACCGTGCAATTGTGCTGCTTCTGCGATAGTCTGTAAACCGCAGTGGCTTGTCTTCTCTAGGCAATTGCACTGTCGTCCTTTTCTTTCAGTGGTGGTTTCCCTGGCTACTTCCTCCTCAAGCCGGGAGACTCGCGCTGCACCGACGCGCTACCAGCGACTCTCTAAACATTTGACTGTCCGCCGTGCAGCTTGCAGCCTCAGAACAACGAGCGGATTACTTCCAAATTTACTTTGCTGATTCAGTCAGCTTAACGATTTGGTACCTGTGAGGTACTCGATTTTTCACTCCGTCAATAAACCGCCCCAAAAGGCGCGTCACATCAACCGGCAACATGTCGCGCGAAGCAACAACGAATAGCTTCGCGTCGTTTGGCTCCGACTTTGACCCTGAGCACGAGGCGCTCGCGTCCACCAAGGAGCTCGGTCATGGTAGCCCCCGACTTCCGTCCATGCACACCAACGCCAGGAAGCGCCACGAGTATGAGGAAGAAGAGCCCGATTACGCTTTCAACACATCCACCTTCGAGCAATATCTACCAGATTTTTCCCCGGTCGGCACATCCGAAGAAGAAGAGGAGGCCGACAACGACGACAGCATCTCCATTGAGGCCGGCCGAGGCCCGACAAAACCTCCCCGTCGATTGGACGACTCGAGGAACTCCTACATGAGCATCGAAAACAGCGTTCGCTCGTCGTCACCCGCCGTCAGACTCGATTATCCTACTTCTAATACCCCTCAGAAGTCTGCTCTGCGGAACCCGGCACGAAGAGCGGTCAGCGATAGTCTCCGAAAGGATGCTCAAATCAGACGCGCCAGCCTTGCCCATAAGGAGAACGTTGATCCCCACACAGCCAAGTCGAACCGCAAAGAGCGACGAACGCTGTCAGACATGCACGCAAAGGTTCGCGATACTTATGAAGGATCCCTAATCGAGGACGAAAGGCCTCCGGTCATGGCCAACAGTACGCGTCCGACACGTTTTGGAAACCCCAACCTCTCTCATCAAATTGCCGATGCGGTGGAGAAGGCTTCTCAGGAGGCTTACGCTCGCGAACT